TTTATACTAAAAAGTTCATTAAAAATATAAGAATATTTAGTTTGGATCCCACTTCGTTGATCCAATTATTATGTATATTAAGTTGAGATTGTTGTAGGAACCCATAAGCTTAAAATTCTGAATCTGCCTCCGGGTGCATTCGATTTTCTATGGTGATGGTTGATTTTATAGTGTTTTTACAGCCTTTAAATCCTCCGAACTTTATGTCATATTTAGGTTTCTTTTCATTGTATAAGCTACATGAACTATTACTTTACTATGGCACTCACACATGATCTTTTCTATTTGCATTTGCAGGTTACCCTAAATGCTCACTTCTAGAATGACATTGGTTTAGATAGTTTAGACATATTGATGGACCCTTGAAGAAGAGCAGCTCCATTGATCTAGCTGTTGATTTCATTGCATCTCAGCCCAGCATAAAAAGGGAACAAACTAGCCTTGAGGTTGCCCATATGTTTGTTATAGTTGTTCTCTCTGTTTAAGAATGTTAACATGTGCTTAAATGTATGATTTCTGTTATGCTTTTGTCACGACCCAAAATCAACCCTGTTGTGATGGTGCCTATCGTGGTACTAGGCAAGGCGATACATTACCAAAACAAACGATATTTTTTTCATTTTCAAGATAATCCCAAAGCTATTTAATATAAAACCTTCATAAGGAGTTCAAATCAAAAGAAACGTGCGGAAAAGAAAGTCCGAATCGGGGTGTCACTACTCATGAGCATCTACTACAATGTGTCCGACAATATCGAGACTAACATAGTCTGGAAAGTAACTAAATACAACAGATAAGAGGGAGAAGAGCAGGGCTGCGATCGCCAGGCAGCTACCTTGCTATCTCCGAGAAAGTCCGCAACTGGACTAGTCAACAGCCGCTACCGTGTCCAGATACACCTGGATCTGCACACAAGGTGCAGGGAGTAACGTTAGTACGCCAACTCAGTAAGTAACAACAGTAAATAAAGGGCTGAGAAGTAGTGACGAGCAATAATGCATGTAAAGTTCATATCACAAACTCAGTAAAAAATACGGTATGCCTTTAAAACCATAGTTTGAATCAAATCAGATTGTTCAATCCAGTTCTAGTAAAATCAATTTGAAACCATCTTTCAACAATTTTAGAACAACGGTTCTGCGCTTCAAGACCGCATCTGCGATCATCGCTGGTGCGGAACCAACATCGCACCTGCGAAGCCCCGCATGCACCTGCGCCCTTTCTTCTGCTTCTGCGACCATCGCAGGTGCGGCAAACACCTCGCACCTGCGGAATCTGCCAGCCCCTCTTCCTTTCGCTTCTGCGTCTTGCACATGCAGCTCCTTTTTCGCAGGTGCGGTTATGACAGTTAAGTTCCGAACTTCAGCCATTCTCCAAACTTCAAACTTGATCCGTTAACCCCCCCCCCCCGGAACTCACCCGAGGCCCTCGGGACCTCAAACAAATATACCAACACATCCCATAATATCATTCAAACTTAGTCGAGCCTTCGAATCACTCAAAACAACATCAAAACACAAAATTACCCTCGGATTCAAGCCTAAGAACATCTAAATTTCCAAATTTCACAAACGACGCCGAAACCTATCAAATCACGTCCGAATGATCCCAAATTTTGCCCACACGTCACAAATGACACTACGAAAATCCTCCTCTAACTTCGGAATTTCATTCCGACCCCGATATCAAATTTTTCACTGCTGACCAAAATCACCAAATTTTCAACTTTCGCCAATTCATGTCTAATTCTACCGCAGACCTCCAAATCACATTCTGGACGTGCTCTTAAGTCCAAAATCTCGAAACGACCGGCCGGGTCATTACATCTTTTTGAGTTTTGGATAGTTATTAATTATACAATTACTTTCGTCATTTGGTTCGGAACAAGGATATCCTGAGATTATAATTATGGGGAGAATTATAATGTCACATCCTATATGGGATAGATAGTACCAAGATTTTGGTATAATAAGTATACCAATTTTAGCTACTACCAATAACCAAATACGGGAAAAATATAATCTCAAAATTTGTAGGTCTCGTGAGGGGGGAATTCATTGGGATTTGAGATTCAAGAGGAACCTACAAAATTGGGAGATAGAAGAATATTACAATTTTGTTGAGTTATTATATGAGCTAGGTACAACGAACAATATATCGGATGTATGGGCAAGAGAGTAAATGGATTATTCACTGTCAGATCTAATTATAAGACATTATTAGAGAGAGAGGAACATGTTTTCCCTTATCACTCTATTTGTATTCCTAGAGTATCGAGAAAGGCGTGTTTCTTTGCATGGTTGGCGGCAAGAGGAGTGATTTTGATAGTGAAAAATCTGAGAAAGAGGAGGATCACATATGTTAGTTGGTGTTTCATGTATAAAAGCTCAAGCGAAGATGTAGATCATATCCTATTGCATTGTCAAGTGGCCAACAGTTTGTGGAGGGTGGTTCTAAATTGGCATAATACATAAAATCATACCTGAACTTGTACCCAAATCCTTGTTACACACCTGTTGATGACGAAAATATTTTCAAACACTCAACCTTTCAAAAGTGTATCTATTACACACATCTTTGCCTACATGGCACGCGCGTCCTTTACATACACATAAGAAGAGTGAACTAAATTGTTTTGTATCTAAAGTCTCATAAAAACGCCACATGTCCAACTTTTCCCATTTTTTTTTTAATTCATCGCCTTCATTTTTCTTCCTCCATTAATGCTCACATAACCTCTTTCTAGCTTCTTTTTTGGTTACTTTTCAAACTTTTATTTCGTTTTTCAACTAGTAAATAAAGCATTTTCGGATTATCAAAAGATTGGTGTGAAATTGTTGGTTTGAAAAGTGCAATTTCAATTAGACCCAGAAATTTTTGATTAAAAAAGTGCAATTATTGGCCCGAAAAATCAAGAGAAGAGTACAAAGAATTTTATGTGAAATTATTTTTTTTTACTAAAGTTGATGTTTGGATACTGAATTAGTTATTGATTGCAAGCTCCATTTCAAGTTGGAACTCATGTGGGGATGGATTCAGAGTTGGATTGAAACTTGTTGAAGAATGCCAAAGAACAATGTTTTGAGTTTAAGTGTTGGATCTTAGACTTGAAGAAGTCTGAGCTTGGTTTTAAAAATTTTGGTAGCTGAAATTAAGATAAGGTGGGCGCAACCATGGTGGTCGGTCTTGGGAAGAAGATGAGTTCCTTTTCTTTTGGCTCGGTTCCTTTTCTTTTTATTATTTAAAACTTTACCGGAGGCCTTTTTTTTATTCTTTTAACTTAATGACACATGTCACGACGATATTGGTGTGTGACATACACTTATTTAAAAGAAGTGGTCAATTATCAAAGTGGTGTGTAATAGATACACTTTTGAAAGGTTGAGTGTTTGAAAATATTCCCGTGGTCAGCAAGTGTGTAACAAGAATTTGGGGTACAAGTTGAGGTGTCATTTTATGTATTCTGCCTTCTAAATTTGTTTGGGGTGCAATAGGTGATGCCGAGAATAGTGAAGGAGGCATTGCATAGTTGGGCTCATATGGGGGAAGAAAAGTCCAAGGGTATGGAAGGTTGCCCCTTTAGCAGTCATGTATGTTATTTGGAACGAGAGAAATAGGAGGACATTGGATGAGGCGGAGCTAGATTTTTTAGAATTGCACGATAGTCTTTTATTTCTAGTTTTTTTTGTGTGTGTACTAGAAGATTGAACCTCTTTTATCAAGAACCAAATTTTGGTGTAGGTTCTCTTTTTTGTTTTTTTGTTTTTGGTTTACGACTTGTATACAAGATTTTCCGATAATTGTTAATAACATTTTTTACCTTATTAAAACAAAACAGGGTTTCACCTTTTGAAATAATGCCTCTCCTCTGAAAATAAAAAAAATCAGAATCACCAGGAAATTCTATCGAATCCAAAAAATTGCAACAAATACCAGAGAGACCAAAAATATTAAAAGATGCACCTTAGAAAACTACACACACTAAAAGACTCAAAATAGAAAACTCCAAATGTGAGTTCACATTAAATATTTTTATTTTATTTTGTAATTTCAATTAAATTTAACAAGACAAAAATATTTCAATTTTGACAAATTTAAAGGAACAAAACTACTTAGGGTATATTTGGGGGCTATTTTATTCCCACCTCAAATTTAAGGGACATAATATTAGACCAAACTCCAAAGGATGTAGATTTGATTATTGGACACAGAAGGCCATGAGAAGACATTTAACAAATATAGTGTCCCTAAAGTATAATTCATATTTGTTGAGAAGAAAGGAGTCACTTGAGTGTAAGTGGTGGTTAGCTTATTTAAGTATGGTTAGGCAGTTAGAGAATTAGAAATAGTTAGTGCTTGTTATACACAGTTAGTTACACGTGTGCGTATATATGTATGTGAAAATGTAATAGATAGGAGCAGAAAAAAATAACAGTTGATTTTTCACTGTTTCATTCATCTTCTTCTCTCAGACCTCTCTTCTCCTCTTCTTCTTCTTTCTCTTCTCTTCTCCCTTCGATCTAGGGTTTCTGCAGGTGATCAATCACCACAATTCAACATGGTATCAGAGCCCCAAGTTCAGAATTGAAGCTCAGAGATCGATCTGCAATCTCCTCTAATCTCCAATTTCTTCGAAAATTCGAAACTCTGTTCAGTTCTCAACAGTGGCGGTTGATGAATCATTGAACGAACGTCCTCCTGCCACTACCACTGTTGAAAATGTCTCGCATGCAACATCAGAGGATGAATTTGAGAAAGGAGTGACCATAGCAGTCACTCATTCTTTGTACCTAGCTCCTGGCAACACAAGTGGAATATCCTTGATCTCATTTCAGCTCATTGGCACTGACAATTACTCTCTATGGCATAGATCTATGAGAATTGCACTGCTTGGTCGAAATAAACTAGGGATTGTCGATGGTAGGTGGCCTAAGGAGCGATTTCGTGAAAAATATTGGTATCAATGGGAGAGGTGCAATGCAATTGTTTTGTCATAGCTGATGAATGCAGTAGCTCCCACATTAATCAGTGGAATTGCATATGCTACCAGTGCACAGGAAGTGTGGATGGATCTGCAGGAACGACTCGACAAGGTAAATGATACACGCTGCTATAACTTACACAAGGAAATTGCCACTCTAAATCAAGGTACTGCATCCATTTCTGTTTACTACTCAAAACTCAAAGACCTTTGGGATGAGACTGAATCTGTAGTACCTGCTCCTGGTTGTGATTGTGTCAAAACAAAAGAATTCATTGTGCATTTACGTAAGCAGAAGGTGTATCAATTTCTTATGGGCCTAAATGACTCTTATTCTCAAGCACGTAGTCAAATCCTTATGATGAAAGCACTACCAACAGTAAACCAAGCCTATGCTATGCTTATGAGTGATGAAAGTCAGAGATCTGTTACTGCTAATGCTGGTATATTAGGATCTGCTCCTAATGCAAACATAAATGCCTATGACTCCACTGCCCTGGATATTGCAAAGCCTAGCTTCAATCCAAAGTTCAGAAAAAACTATAATATTCAATGTGACTTCTGTAAAATCAAAGGCCATAGCAAAGAAAATTGCTACAAAATCATAGGATATCCACAAGACGATAAGACTAAAAGGAAAGGGGGAGCTGGTGCTTATAATGCTATGGTAGAATCAAGTTATGGTGTAACTTTGCACAACAATCATGCTTCTCAAGACAGGGCAATGCAGCATATGCCTATGCATCAAGGCAATCAGTTTGTGAATCAGGCCTCTGAGGGTTTACAGGGTCAAGGAATCTCAAGCACTCAAAAGCAGGAAAGTTCTTCCTCCTCACAGTCTCAGGCATCAGCAAACTCTGCTTCACAAGGTGGTGGTTTTCCATTTATTAAGGAACAATATGATCAGATAATGCAGATTCTGAACACTGGTCCTTCTCTTCCTACTCAAGCAAATGCTGCAGGTACTGATACTGCTCTCTTAGCATCCTCTAATTCACAAGAACAAGAGTGGATCATTGACACAGGTGCTACAAATCATATGGTATCAAATGTAGACTTATTGACCAAATCCTCTCTAACTACACCCTCTAAGCCTAGAAGAGTTCTGCTACCTAATGGAGATGTTACTCAAGTTACTCAGATTGGAGATAGTCACATTTCAGATAGAAGCACTATTAAGGAAGTGCTTTATGTTCCTCAATTCAAATTCAACTTATTGTCAGTCTCCAAGGTGACAAGAGAACTAAGATGTTTTGCTTCCTTTTATCCTGATTTCTGTGTATTTCAGGATCTCTTCAGTGGCAAGGTGAGGGAGATTGGTAGGGAAAGAGAAGGCTTATACTTTCTACAGAGGCATGGGGCCAAGAAGCTTACTGTTGTTGCTCTAGTTGCAGCTGGAATAAAGTCAAGAACTACAGATATCACCTTATGGCATAAAAGGCTAGGTCATATATCTACTATTGTTCTCAGAAGATTATTTCCTGCTAAACTAGCTAGTATTGCTGATACCATCAATAAGTGCACTGTCTGTCCTTGTGCTAAACAAACTAGGCTGCCATTTCCTACTAGCTATACTAAGAGCACTGGTGCATTTGATCTAATTCATGTAGATGTTTGGGGCCCCTACAAGTATGCAACTTTTGATGGAAATAAGTACTTCTTGACTGTTATTGATGATTTTAGCAGAATGATTTGGTTGTTTCTTCTGAAGTTAAAATCTGATGTGTGTGTTGTTCTCGCTCAGTTTATTGTATTTGTTCAAACTCAGTTTAACAAAACCTTGAAGGTTATCAGATCAGATAATGGGTCTGAATTTGTTAACTTTGTGTGCACCACCTTATTCTAAAAATATGGTATCATTCATCAGAAGACATGTGTTTACACCCCTCAGCAGAATAGCGTTGCTGAAAGGAAACATAGACATATTTAGGAAGTGACTAGAGCCTTAAGGTTTCAGGCAAATATTCCCATCAAGTACTGGGGCCATTGTGTTCTTGCAGCAGCCTATATTATAACAGGATGCCTTCTTCTGTACTTAATGGATTGTCCCCATTTGAGCTGTTATATGGCAGGGTACCTAACTTAGACCATTTGAGAATACTTGGCGCCTGTGCTATGCCAAACAGGTTCAGGAGACAGATAAACTTCTTCCTAGAGCTAGGCCTACTGTCCTTATAGGGTTCTCTGATTCTCAAAAGGGGTACATCCTGTTAGACTTGGAGAGTCATTGCTTTCTCATTAACAGAGATGTGTCTTTCAGGGAAGACATCTTTCCTTTCAAGGATTATCCTACAACTATGCCACCTGTATTCTTGTCTCCTGAGTCTCCTCTTGTTGATACTGAGCTCAGAAGTAATACCTCACCCTCATCTCCTCCTTCCTCTATTGATTCTGATCATGCTACTAGTAATTCAGAACAAGAATCATCTACTCAGCATCAATCACCAGCAGGTGTGGCTCCACCTGACTTGCCTTCTCAGGAACTTAGCTGCCCTGGCCTAAGGAAGTCAACAAGGCCTAGACAGGCTCCTATTTGGATGAAGGACTTTGTATCTTTGCCTGGCCATAAGGCTGTGCCTTACTCTATCTCCAATTATGTGTCATACAATGGTCTTTCTCCTACATATCAGGCCTACTTAGCTGCATTTTCCACCATAGTAGAACCCTCCTCCTTTGAATAAGCTGCTAAAGACCCTAGGTGGGTGAATGCCATGCAGGCAGAGATTGCTGCCTTGGAGTCTAACCACACTTGGGATGTGGTTCCCTTGCCTGCTGGTAAAACTCCCATTGGGTGCAAATGGATTTACAAAGTCAAGTACAATGCCTCAGGTGAGGTAGAGAGGTTCAAGGCCAGGCCTGTTGCCAAGGGGTACAGCCAGCAAGAGGGTATTGACTATCAGGAAACCTTTAGTCCAGTTGTCAAGATGGTTACTGTCAGATCTGTCCTTGCAGTAGCTGCTTCTGAGCATTGGCACATCCACCAGATGGATGTGTACAATGCCTTCTTACAGGGTGACTTGCATGATGAAATCTATATGACTTTGCCTCAAGGATTTCAGAGTCAGGGGGAGAGTAGACCAACCTGCAGACTCTTGAAATCCTTATATGGCCTCAAACAGGCACCAAGACAATGGAATGCCAAGTTGTCTGAAGCACTTGTGCATCTAGGCTTCATGCAGAGCCAACATGATCACTCACTATTTGTAAAAGGAACAGGGAATCACACTGTTATCATCCTTGTTTATGTGGATGATATGCTTCTAACTGGACCTGATCTGTCTCTTAGAAATGCAGTTAAAGCTCAGCTACAACAAACTTTCAAAATGAAGGACCTTGGGGAGTTAAAATACTTTCTAGGCATTGAATTTGCCAGGTCTCAGCAAGGCATTCTGATGCATCAAAGGAAATACACACTTGAGCTCATTTCTGAGCTAGGACTGGGGGCTGCAAAACTTGCAGCTACACCTACTGAAGCTAATGTGAAGCTTACTACTAAGGAGTATGATGAACATATTGGTGTACTTGAAGACACATCAGATGATCTTCTAACAGATCCTAGTCAGTACCAGAGGTTACTAGGGAAGCTACTCTACTTAACAGTCACACGACCTGATATAGCATATAGTGTTCAGACATTGAGTCAGTTTATGCAGAAGCCAAAGAAGTCACATATGGAAGCTGCACAAAGAGTGGTCAAGTATGTAAAAGGGCAGCCTGGACAAGGCATACTAATGTCCAACAGGAAGATGAACACTATTACAGCATATTGTGATGCTGACTGGGCTGCTTGTCCTCTCACAAGGAAGTCAGTAACTGGTTTCTTTGTCAAATATGGTGAGTCCTTAGTGTCTTGGAAGTCAAAGAAGCAAAGTACAATCTCTAGAAGCTCAGTAGAATCAGAGTATAGAAGCATTGCAGCAACAGTAGCTGAGATAGTTTGGATACTTGGACTGTTCAAGTATATTGGAATAAGGGTTGAACTGCCTGTGAACATACTCACAGACAGTAAAGCAGCAATTCAAATAGCTGCTAATCCAGTATTCCATGAACGCACGAAGCGCATTGAAATCGACTGTCACTTTATACGAGAGAAAATACAGAATGGGCAAGTGAAGACAGAGTATGTGGCAACTAAGGAGCAACTAGCAAATATACTGACCAAGGGCTTACCCAGAGTTCAACATGAATATTTGTTGTCCAACCTAGGGTACTTGATATCTTTATACCACCTAACTTGAGGGGGAGTGTTGAGAAGAAAGGAGTCACTTGAGTGTAAGTGGTGGTTAGCTTATTTAAGTATGGTTAGACAATTAGAGAATTAAAAATAGTTAGTGCTTGTTAGACACAATTAGTTACACGTGTCCGTATGTGTGTGAAAATGTAATAGATAGAAGGAGCAGAAAAAAAATAACAGTTAATTTTTCACTGTTTTATTCATCTTCTTCTCTCATACCTCTCTTCTCCTCTTCTTCTTCTTTCTCTTCTCTTCTCCCTTCGATCTAGGGTTTCTGCGGGTGATCAATCACCACAATTCAACAACATTCTTCTTATTCTTTGCGCATTAGAACTTAGAAATTTGTTGAAATGACTTCCAAAATCAAATCAAAAGCCACTATCTAAACGACTACCCAAATCTGTTCAGTCTTGCGATAGAGGTATTCATTTGCTTGTGTACTTGTGTTACCCGGCAGGACTGTTGCACTAAACATTGCTGCTTCCCCAAGGTAAGAAATTCTTTATTATGCAAGTATACACTTGAGATCGTTATTGTCTCCCAACTGTTTGTTAAAATGTCTGTGTTAAATCTGCGGCAGAAACACTCCTTTTTTGATGCATCCAATTCAGAATTTATATCTTAGGTGACATTTGTTTCAGGGCAAGTGACAGCAGCCTTTACTTAGGTTCTAATAAGGATGTTGCTGTTTGACTTGACGTTAGTTCAGAATTTAGAGTCAGAGATTTTCAGAATAAGTGTGTATTTATTTATACACACATGTATACGCATTGTTGATGTGTATTTGAGATCCTTATTGTCGCCCAACCGTTTGATAAAATGTCTGTGTTAAATTTACGTCAGAAAGACTCCTTTTTTATACATCCGATTCAGAATTTCTCTCAGGTGTGATTTATATTAGGGCAAGTGATAGCAGCCTTTACTTGGGCTACTAATAAGGATGTTGGTGTTAGACTTTACAGTCAATTCAGAATTTAGAGTGAGTGAGGGTCAAAATGAGTATATATTTATAGGTTCCTTTTGGCTAGGTAATACTTTATAGTGCTCATGATATGTATTTTTTTGAAGCAAAGTTGGAGGTTGTTCCTACATGAGATAGGATTAGAAGTTGTAATGGTTAATTTGGATTAGTCTCCTTGATGGTCACTCAACTTTCACTTTATTGCACCAAAATCACTAAACTAATTTTTGTAATGAAAAAGTCACTCAACTTTACCTAAGATTAATGAAAATCACTAAACTATTTTTAAAAGTCACTCAACTTGGTTTGAGGTATCACGGAAGGTCATTAGAAGGAAACAACGGAAACATTTTCTGGGATACTTAGGCAAAGATGAGGGACTTTTTGGTTACAAAAATTAGTTTAGTGATTTTTTGTGATACTCAGGTAAAGTTGAGTGACTTGCTTGTTACAAAAAATAATGTAGTGACTTTGGTGCAAAAAGTAAAAGTTGAGTGACCATTCGCGAAATTACCCATGGTCAGTATGTTCCGTCTAAAGTTTTTCTTTTTTAAAATTTATTTCAGGATTGCAAGATCCTCAGTGCAAAACATTGCAGACTCTTTCGGTTGTTCAGTACTATAATGGTAGGTGGAAACTTACTACTTTGAGGAATGAGAATAGGAAAAGGAATTCCAAAGGTGTATTTTGTATGATAGAAATTGATTTACTTACCTTTTCTCAAAGAAAAATATTTTCCACTAAAAGGGGAAGAAAAGATTTTCTTATTTATGGGGGAAGTCATTTTTCCTTATCAATATCAAACTCCAACACTATACCACTCACATCTGTTAACACTTGGACATTACTATCAAACTTTTAGTGCTCTGTAATATCGTCAGAACATGATTTTTATAATTTATCCTACAATTTGTGTGATTACATGTCTTAACAACTTCTTATATCCGGCTGAGCACTTGAAAATGAATTTTAAGAAACACGATCTTCTAAGGTAAAACATTTTCGAGGACAATTATTTTAAACATTTTCCTCCACGCTGACACACCTTTGGTTGGGTAGTTAGTTTTGATATTTCAATAAGGGTAATGAACTAGGCTGACATATCAGAGATTCAGAATGCATAGTTGATCATCTGGCATGTCACTGATATTTCAATAAGATGTTTAGTATACTTATTCTTTAAAGAGATTTTACAAGTTCTAATACTCCTTTCCGTGAGAGCGTTGGCTAACTGGTAAAGTTGCTGCCATGTGACCAGGAGGTCATGGGTTCGAGCTGTGGAAACAGCCTCTTGCAGAAATGCAGGGTAAGGCTGCTTACAATAGACCCTTGTGGTCCGGCCCTTCCCCGGACCCCGCGCATAGCGGGAGCTTAGTGCACCGGGCTGCCCTGTTTAATACTCCTTTCTGTAATTTTTATTTCTTTTGTTTTTCCAGGTAACAGCAGATTGGTCAAAGTTGCCAGTGGATCTTTTGGGTTTAATTGCCAGTCGACTGCATTTTGCCGAAGACTGGGTGCGGTTTGGTGGAGTCTGTAAGTCATGGAGAACTGGTATTCTACAAAATGGCAATTCTTCGTGCTCATTCCTTCCTTGGCTGATGCTTCCTCAGAGGACGCACGAAAGCTCGCGCACGTTCTATAGTCCTTTCAAATGTAAGAGTTATGATATCTGTTTGTCGCGTGTTCTAGATAAACGATGTTGGGGTTCTTCTCATGGTTGGTTGGTCACTCTAGGTGCCAATTTTGATATGCACTTGCTAAATCCACTATCAGGGGTCCAAATTTCGCTTCCACCACTGAATAAGTGCCCTAATTTGAATACTCTGATATGTACAGGAAAGAGCTTTCGCGACTCGTTTGTTTCCAAAGTTATCTTGTCTGCTAGTCCGTGTTCATCAGATTGTGTAATTTTTGCTATCTATTCTGATAATTGGAAGATGGCATTTGCAAAGCTAGGTGATGTTGCTTGGACTCCCTTGAGTTCCATCCGTGGCCATGTTGATGATGCCATATGTCATGATGGGAAGTTTTATGCTATTGACACTTTTGGCGAAGTTCTGATTTGGGACTTTGCTGGCTCTTTTTTGAAGAAAATAGCTTTCACGCCATCTCGCGATATGGATAATTTGGTTTATGTTACTACATATCTTGTCGAGCTAGAAGGTCAAATATATGCTGTAATGAGGATTTTGTTTGATACAAGAATCACAGATACTCCTTGCCTAAGCACTTGGAGTTTCAAAATTTTCAAGTTGGATGTCTACAATGAGAAGTGGGAAGAAGTGAAATCTTTGGGTGATTGGTCTATTTTTGTAGGAAGCAATCTTTCCTTCTCAATTTCTTGCTGTGCTTACCCAGAATGTGAGAGTAATTGCATATACTTCACAGATGACTTCTCTGGAGTTTATTACAATGCAGTACATGGCTATGATATGGGTACTTACAATATTCAGAATGGCGGGATACAACCTCTTATTCAGGAAAATGTATCTGCCTTTGCATTCTCTCAGCCACTTTGGATAATACCAAGTTTATCTTAAGGATTTCCAGTTGAGTAGGACGGTAATGTACATCATGCATCTGATTTTCTGTTAAATCTGATTTTTCGTTGCGATACTGCTAGATTAGTTCTTCCGGCCAAAACAATGTGTTTTATTTGTATTTTACAGTGTGAGCAAATTTTTGTTATGCTCTTAAATTGTAAATGCCTTGTAAGTTGAGATTTAACAATGGGCTCATGATAATACAAAATCTTCTCTCATTCGTTACCATATCTTTCAAATTTCACTAGGTTGTAGGAAGTTTTACGCTGGTGAAAGTGTTGGCGGACACTGGACACATTTTGGTTTGTCATTTCACTGGGTTTTTCGTTGTTGAAGAAAACAGCTTTTATTCATTGCAGATATTGTGTGAGCTAGTTATGTTATATAACATATCTAGTTGAGTTAGGGGTCCATATAGAGCAGTCTTTAGACTTTTGTATGATACAAGAGTCTCAGGTGCTCCTTGCCTAAGAACAAGGAAAGTCTACAAGGTGGAAATGTGCAATGATTACTGGGAGAAAGTACAATCTTTGGTTAATGTTCTACCCTTTGTCTCTACCAATAAATTCTTTCCAATAGATCCTCAGCTCAAGAAAAGCAATTCTTGGAAAAGAAAAATAGTAGTGAAGAGGTCATGTCGATACTAATGAAAACAGAACGGTAATAAAAGCAAAATAACAGAGCAATAAAATAATCGAAGCATGGAAACAACAGGTACTAATAGAAATTTGAAGAAATTTCTGCTATCTTCCAGCACTTTTACGAGGCAAAACAATTAATATTTGTTTACTCGACCATCCCATAAAGCAATAGGCCTTCTGAAGTTAAATAGTAGTTGATAGTGTAAAAACTTTCAAAACCCACAAATTTAAGTTAATACATGAGTTTAACTTCTACATATTTATAGTGCAATTTTTATATTATTAGGTCATTTAAAAGATAACTAAAAGTTAATATATTAAATTTTAGTAACTATTACAACGACTAAAATTGAAAGTATTTTAACATGACAGAGAAATTATTTTGTAATTTTACTACGATAATATATATAACGTTCAGTCGATTTCGTTACTTTAAGAGAATACAAATAGACTCATAACTTCCAAAGGTGCTGCTTGTGTTCCTCGTATGCTTCAAAGGCAGCGATCATGAAAATTCCTCCAAAAAAGCCTCACTTCTTTAAACCTATTTTGCCAGGTTTTAAGCATGGAATTGTGAGTATTAATTCTTTTTTTCCATTGTTTTACTTTCTTGTTTCTTGGTTTACATCTTTTTTTTTCCATCTCATATGTCTACGTACAAAAAGCTCCATATTTTTCTCTCTTTGTTTGTTACTTACTCTTTTCCTAGGATATAGCATGAACTTTTTTTGTTTCCCCATTACCGCAAAAGTCCTCTTAAAGAAAGCTTAAAGGAAAAATAAAAAAATAAAAATACTACGTATGCATACTAGAAGAGCTGGCAAGAAAAAGATTTGATTTTTTGGGGATTGCTATTGATTGTTGTTATTGTTATTTTATATAACTGGGGATTGTGTGATAAAAGGGAAAAAGAATTTTTGAAATCTATCTTGTCAAAGCACTGTACAAGCAACGCACAGAAGGTCAAAAGATGTGGTGGGGTAGTGACGGAGTCGGGATTTTCGTTAAAGGGGTTAAAATATAAAACATTGAACATTAAAATATTCCACATATTTATATATACATAAAAAATAAAATTTATCTAATTATACAATGCAATTTTACACATAGTGATTTGGTAGGATGTGTGTGATCCTTCCACTGTTAAACAGATGTCTCGTGTTCAAGGCTTGTGAATGAAGAAATTCCTCTAGAGAGTGCGACTTCTTTTAATGGACCTTATATGGTGTGAATTCCGACAAAAAAGTAAAAGAAAAAAGAAAACACACACTTTGTTATAATGTTAGAGTTTATAGAACTGATTTGTAAAAATCTTTGTTAGGGGTTTGGATATTATTGTTAATAGCTTCAATCAGTAGTTGCATAGGTTTTTTCAAGTGATATAAATACTCCTATTAATTATAATTACTTTGCAGAAAATCCCCATAGCTTTTTCCAAGTATCTGAATGGATGTAATCAAGAACATGCAATATTGAGAAGAGCAGGTAAAAAGTGGGTGGTAAAAGTGAACGGACAGCTATTGGAACAAGGTTGGGGAAAATTTGCAGAGGAACATGATTTACAGTTGGGAGATTGTTTGGTGTTCAGACATGAAGGAAACATGGAGTTTGAAGTTTCAATCTTTGGTTCAAGTAAATGTGAAAGAGAATATGAACAGCATCTGGAAGGAGTTAATGAAGAACAAGAGGAAAACAATCATTCTTTCAAGAAGTTCACATCACAAGGTTTGGTATTTGGACTCTATTTCATGTCTCTTCTTATTTTTAATCTTAATTTCTTAAATTCTAACTTAATAGACTGTAATATTTTTATGATGGTGGTGTCGGGGCTATCTTTGTGCACCTCGACTATTTCACTGGTTAGTTGCTACCTCCCATCAGCACAAGTACCAGATAACTCTGCCCATCAAGTTTTAGGCAGATGGAAAGAATCACCTTAGTGTTTGTTTTGCCTCCGCTATGATTCAAATCTGAGACCTCATAGTCATGTTTCTATTCTAACTTCATTGACCACTAGGCCACGCAGTTGGGTATTATAAACTCTGATTTCTAACATATTGGTTAGTGGTGGAAGTGTTCTATCACAATTTTTTGATTGTAGTACAAAAGCTAATACAGTCCTTTTTGTGGTTTTCTATAGATCTGATAGACTATGTGGATGATAATATTTTCTACAAGTAGGAGAGAGGGCTCTAACACTGCCAATTGAGCGTATATTGTGAATAAAGTAATAATCATGAGGTTAAGCACAATGAAAGTAACACAAATATAACAGAAGAAAAAGTAAAGTATCTTATTAGAGATATAGCCATCCCTGCCCCCTCATGTCAATCCCACGAGCCTCTTATCCATTCTCATTGAACGACGGTGGGGGAGCAAATCCAACTAGAAAAACTCACATTGGGCTTAGGGATAATCAGGCTCGAACTGATGAGTTCCACCACGTCAGGGTGACACTCTACCACTGAGTTATATCCCTTCCCCGTCCCATCGAGAAATAGAACTGACCAATCTTAAGTTAAAGGGTCGAGAAACTCAACACTACTATTCTTGAACAACTTGGAGCCAGGCCTTAGTTAAGCACAATGAAAATAACACATGTATAACAAAAGAAAAAGTAAAGATCTTATCAGAGATCGTTTCCAAGCTCTTTCAATTAGGTGGTCTTTGGGAGCAATGCAAAGCAAGAAGAGACTAACAAGATAAAAACTGTGAAGCATGTGTAAGACTAGAAAAGAGAGGTAGAAGTTGCAGGGTAAGGCTAGCTTTAATGATATTAGCTCCTACCTAATCAAATTAGATTAGATCATATTTGATGCTCTCCCTCGAGGCGGAGGTGCCTCTTTTATAGAGGCACAGATAGTAACGGCCAACAAGTAATGCCGGCATGGCTAGCAGGTAGAGCAGAAATGGATCCTCGGTTCAAGGAATCTGTTGAAAGACGTGGAAGTTAAGGCCGTTACATTTGACATAGTCAGAAGCGGTGGGGATGAAGTTGAGCGAGGTGGGTATGAAAGTCGCTTGTAAGGTACGTCTATTGAGTGCTGGGCGCACGAGCTGCTAAGGCTGTCAGTCTTGTGGACTTTCGTGCCTTCACGGTATGTCTGTTCGTTTGGTCTGTCATGCTTCCCCAGTTATGACCGAAATTTGCCACCACTGAAGTTTACACAGTGAAAATATTACGCTAAGATCTGCTACATGCTGAAGCACAATAAATAATATAGAGATTGGTACAAGGACTTTCTTCTTTTCATGAATGTTGTGTTACACAAGGATTGCTTTATGTAGTTAGTCAACCAAAATTGATTTTTTTTTTTGGACTTGTTCACAAATAATAAGCACCTTGAATTTAACTAACACATGATCATGTAGTGTTAGAATTTGAAAATAGTATATTAATCAACCTCATAGATTGAAAAACAATTTTACTAAGCAAACATCTGCATATAGTAGGCAAGATGGCCTTCAACACAGGTTTCATAGTTGAACTATTAATATGTCCTTTTGTTACTGATAAACAAATATGTTCTTTTGTTCATAAATTATTAGTATTTTTTTGGTATCTTTTACATATCCTTTTTGTGTAACTAGCAAATACAACAGAAAGACCAAAGCTCAAGATCAGGTCGTCACACAAGGCTTTCCCCAATGCAGAAGCTGCACAGGACATGCCCCTTGATCGCCCTCATTTCATTTACACAATCAAACCATATTGCCTTTCAAAGAGTTTTCTGGTAAGTTCAAAGCTAATATATAATTCATTCGTTTCACTCGAAAAGATGAACTCATTTTGCTATGTTGAACTACTTTTTCTATAATAATATCAAAATGTGAAGCATAAAGATGAACTGTTTTTGTGCAATTGATTATAAACTGTTTCAGCAACTTCCGGGACCATTTGCACGAGAAAACGATCTTAGGAACAGGAAATGTACGATAACAATAAGGGATGAACAAATGTCTTGGACGTTTAGTCTATATTCTTCTGGCTCACATACCTTCATTGGAGGTGCGTGGAGTAAATTCTGCATCGCGAATGGCTTTAAGGAAGGAGATCAGATAATGCTTGAGATAGTTGAAAATGGAAAGAACCCTATATTGAAAGTTTACGGCAAGTTTCTTATCTAATCACTTCTCTTAAACTTCGTTCAACTTTCCACTTTTTGTTATTTTATCATCTCTTTATCATTTGAAATTTATCTTTTTTCCTGAATTATGCCAATAACGATCTAATGTTCTTCTTCTGGTGTTAAACCCTCTCCTCTTCATTTTCCGGTGTCTGACATTTTGTTTCATTTTAAAAACTAGATTTGATGGTAAATGCATCACACCAGCGCGAAGGAAAGAAGACATATTTGGATGCTAAAAGTGTTTCCACTGAAGGTCTGAATTTCAAGAGCAAATCCTTGTTGCTGTATTTTTGTCTTTTAAATGCATCTCCAGTTTCAGTTCTGATATTGTTCTTCCAATACTAGATTTGAGAGCAAATGCATCACTTCAGCGCGAAGGAAAGAAGGCCAATTTGGACGCCAGAAGAGTTACCACTCGAGGTTTGTTTACAAGAGCAAATCCTTGTTTCTGTATCAAACACCGTGGTCTTTTCTTTTCATTTTTCTGATTCTAATGTTTCTTCTTTCTTTTCTTTTATTGTGCTTTTTATTAAAGGAATAACAGGCCGAAGGATTAAGACCTCAGATATGCCTGCTACAACTACAAGAGCACGACTTCCTGCTTCAACATCTGCTAATGCTAACCCTCATTTTATTTCTACTATTAGGCCTTATTTTATCAGCAGACCTTCCCTCGTAAGTAATTTGGATTAACTTTAGTTAATCCCTTAATAGTTAAGATCTTCGGTAGTAGTTTCTCTTTTTTGTTATAACGCGGCATTGATCTACATACTGGGATAAATGTGAGCAGTATCTTCCAGCGGCTTTTGCAAAATCAAATGGCTTGGCTAATAAACGTCGTCAGTTGATTCTCAGAGATGAGAAACAAAGATCATGGCCAGTGCAGGTAGGACCACAGGGACATCACTTTGCAATTACCAGGGGATGGCGACAGTTCAGAGAAGCAAATAATGTCCAAGTAGGAGATACTTATAAATTTGAACTCATCGACAATGGCACAGTACCTGTAGCGCATTTCCACTGTTAGTATTTGTTTTACTTCCCTTCTTTTCATTAACTTCCTCTAACTTATACATGTCTTTTTTTTTTCTTCTTTGCCACTTTGGTTATTAGGAATTGGTAGATATTATGGATGGAACCATAAACAAGTTTATCTATAATAGTGATGGTATCATACTGTTTTGCCACTTATTGTTAGTGCTATTCAAATTCTTGAAAATGTTATGCAACTATACTTTTGAACTTAAATGAAATCTTAAATATTTTTGGTTGTCGGGATGTATTGCTTAATGTCCTCTTGTGGGATTACATTGGATATGTTGTTGTTGTTGTTGTTGTTGATGTATTGCTTATAAATGAAAAAGATAATCTGCTTTAAATTTCAATGATCCTATAGTGGTTTTGTACAACGATCGAGTCTGCAAGATTTAGATTCACAGCAGAGAATGGCTTTGGTTCAAAAATTTTGCAGGTAAATATTCTGGGAAGGATGCCAAGCATCAGAGAAGTTATTGACAATGTAAAGAAGGAGTTGGTGATTGGCAAGGGAAACGAGCATCGAAGAATATAATGTTCTTAGATCTGGTATATATTTTATTTGAATTCCTTTTGTATCTGCTTGTTCTGTTAATTCAATAGCCTTTTTCATTGCTTTTCTGTTAATGTATCAACAAAAAATTCTGCAGACTGTTTTGTTATAGTCATTCGCATTGTACAGTCACAGCACCATCTGTGCTGGTTACGTCGATGTACGAGAGGAATAGAGAAAAACTTGTGATTGGTGTGGAGGTGAAGATCTGTTTATATATAGTTCAAGAAAGAGTTCTGTTTCTTTTTAATAGAATTTGCTTATCAGAAAAAAGATACCTACTTTTGTATGATGTATTCTACTTCAGTTTCAAATGTTAACCTTTTAGTTTAGGAATTATAGTTAGATACATTGATAATACAAACTGTTTTTGCACTATTATTGTGAAGGTTAACAGTGATGTCAAGTTAGCTAACATTATTACCATGCAGAGCCAGAACTTCAATTTTATGAGTTCTGAATTTTAGAATGAAGACTTTAAGTGCTAATAACTGGGTTCTAAATTTAATATTTGTACATATTTAATAATTTTTGTAACACAAATACACTATTTGCACAAAAGTTATTGGGTTTGGTCAAAGCCGTATTCGGGCTTCTAGCTCCGCCCCTATTACCATGTTACTAATTAACACTACTTATAGAAATTTACTCGTACTTACCTCAAAAGTTACCTGTTTGTGTAAGTAATTGTTATATAAAGAGAGTTGGTACGAAAAAAAACCTAGTTATAGATATTAGCATCATATAGCCCAATATTAAGGTTTTCCTATATTTATTTGGTATTTTATAGCCAAAATTATTTTCTGAGTAAGGCACAACTGATGCACATCTCTCCCCCTTTCTCTCAGTTTTATTCTCTTTCTTCCCCAAATTTTTTCAATCCCCCAATCTCTCTCTCAATTTTTCTTCCCTGATAATTATTGTATAAGGTTTCCTTCTTTTTCTTGCTATTCTCTACATTGTATCTATGATCTTTTATAGCACATTAGTGATTTTTCTAACTTGAAAGATGGGGAAAAGATCAACCTCTAAGAAATCAAAATCTAAAGTTACAGTGGTCAAATCTTTATCTCTTCATGTAGAAGAAGACTCTAATTTCGAAGTTTCTATGTTAAATGGATCGAATTCACCGCATTCAATAGATATCGACATGAAAATCAAAGCAAAAAAGGGTTGATACGTGTATACAAAAGGTAAAGGGAAGAAATGGCAAACGAGACTGGTTTACAGCAAAAATAAAGCGTGTTCGCAAGGAGGAGGTCGAACGTGATAAACATCATTTGAAGGTATTTTTTTCATCTCATTCGATTTAATGTATCTTTTTGTATCCAATTAATCATATTCATAGGGTTAGCATCAACTTTCATATTATACCTGATTCTAATTTATGATCGTTAGAATATATGAAAATATTCAAAGTTGGCTTGGTAATACAGTTTATATTAAAATTTAGACTAAAACTATTTTGATAACTATCAAGAAAACGAATAAAAATAAATTAACTCTTAGTAGCGGTGAGATTTCAATTACTAGAATGGCAATTGGGTTGATTAGAGTGGGCTGGTGCTATTCAATAGCACAAAATAATATACCTTTTTATTTGTCAGTCGATATTTTGTTAAACCGGGCTATTGCCCTATCTAGGCAAGTTAAATAATTTCACTGTGAATGCATCAAATATTTGTAACATATACATATTATTGAGTAGCGAAATTGAGTACTCCGTCATATTTTTATATCACGCAATTATAATTGTATATTACAATGTATATCATACAGTTCTTATGGTTCTTTAAAGTTTTGACATGTTATTGAGTAGAGGAATCAAGTAAAAGGCTAAATAATTAGATGCCTTGTTTATAGTTTATCACGAACTTACCATAGTTTATCACAATGTATATCATATTGTAACTATGGTTCTTTTAAAATTTGAATGGGTCATTTTTACTGGATACATATATGGCTTAGGATAATTCTTGTTTTTTTATGTTATATATAATGGTATTTTTATGTTGCATTGGATACAAAATTATCCACTTCTCGTTAGATTTCACATACCAATATTCATATTGTTAGATGACTTAAAGTTAAAATTGACTGATAGACAGATTCAAAAGTTTGAAAAAAATATGTTTCGGATATTTTCTCGATTTGTATTATGTTATGGTTTAGAACTAAGTCATACGGTTCTTAATGTCGAGGGGGTTGGTTCAAGATAGGGATCATGAGTTTTATGTGAAAGATCAATCATAGTACCCTGTGTTTAGGGATAAGAGAATTTGCATATATCTAGCCAAAGGTGTGTTGGTGAGGTCAAGGATGAGGACACTCATAGTGGATCGAATAAGCTCAAGGATGCCTATTTTCTCAATCGTGCTAGAGTATCAAAGGACGACCTTATTGATTGTTTTATGAAAAGGAGATGACAGTCTAATAATAACGCTCTAAAGATTACATTATTGTACTTCTTATACACTTTCTTATTTTTCGTAATTAGTGAAAGATCCTTTACAAGTAATAAAAAATTTTATTTGATTAGGAGTGGGAAATACGAGTATTTTCTATCGGGGAATATTATATTTGAAGCCTTGATTGTTTCGGTGAGAAATAAGTTTAGACTTCGTGAAGACGTTTCATAGGTCGTTCTTTGATACTCTAGCACAACTGGGAAAGTAGGCATCATTGAGCCTATTTGATCCGCTATAAGTGTTCTCATCCTTGACCCCATCAACACACCTTAGACCAGAATAATTGTAAATTCTCTAATCTTAAAGCACAGGGTAGTATGATTGATCTTAGCGTAAAACGCATGATCCTTATCTTGAACCAACTCCCTCGACATTAAGAATTGTATTACTTGGTTCTGAACTATAACATGAGGCAAATCAAGGAAATACCCGAAACATATTTTTCTAAACTTTTGAATTTGTCCATCAGTCAATTTTGACTTTAAGTCATACCAATATGAACATTGGTATGTGAGCTCCGATGAGAGGTGGATAATTTTGTATCCAATGCGACATAGAAATCCCATTTCTAAATTACACCCCAAAAAAATAGAAATTATACTAAGCCACATATGTATACAGTTAAAACGATCCATCCAAAACTTAAAAGAACCATAATAATATGATGTATATTGTGATATACAATTGTAAGTTCGTGATATATAAACATGGCGTGTACTTATTTGGCTCAATAACATGTCAAAACTTTAAAGAATCATAATAACTGTATGATATATATTGTGATATACAATTATAAGTGTCTGATAAAAAAATATGGCGCAATACGCGATTCCGCTACCCAATAATTTGTATATGTTACAAATATTTGATGCATTTAGAGACTTACTAGATAGTGCAATAGTCCGATTTAACAAAAAATTAACTGGCAAATAAATAAGTATACCTTTATGCAATTGAATAGCTTCAGCTCCCACTAATCAACTCAGCTGCCACTCTAGCAGTTGAAATCTCATCGCTACTAAGAGTTAAATTTATTTTTATTTGCTTTCTTGATAGTTATTGGAATAGTTTTGGTCTAAGTTTTAATATAAACTGCATTACTAAGTCAGCTTTGAATACTTATCATATATTCTAAAGATCATCAATTAGAATCAGGTATAAAATAAAAGCTTATGCTAGCCCTATGAATATGATAAATCGGATACAAAGAAAATAAGTCAAATTGAATGAGACGAAAAAAATACCTTTAAAGGATGTCTATCACGTTCAACCTCCTTTTGAGAACATGCTTTCTCTTGTTTAATAACAATATTTTGTTGTAAACGAGTCTAGTTTGCTACTTTATCTTTTGTTATACATAGAAGCAACCCGTTTTTTTGCTTTGATTTTCATATCGAATATCTATTGCATATGGTGAATATCCGTTTAACACCTAAATTTCGATATCAGAGTCTTCTTCTACATGAAGAGATGAAGATTTGATCACTATAACTTCAGATTTTGATTTCTTAGAGGTTTTTTTTTTTTCCATCTTTCAAGCTGGAAAAATCATCGATGTGCTATAAAAGATTATAGATACAATGTAGAGAATTACCTAAGAAAAAGATAAAGAGAAATCCTCACAAAGTGATTATCGGAGAAGAAAAATTGAGAGAGAGATTTGGGGGATCGAAAAAATTGAAAGTAAATTTAAGAAAGAAAATAAAACCGTTAAAATATATATAGCGAGAGAGCGGGGGAGAGATGTGCGTTCCTTGTGCTGTATTTCTCGAAAAATAATTTTGGCTACAAAAATCAAATAAATATAGGATAAATTAATATTCGGCTATATGGTGCCAATATCTGTAAGTAGAGCTATTTCCTACCAATTCTTTTTATACGTAGTTAAACCATGCCATTTTCCCTTTTCAATTGTTAGGATCCCGACTTTTTCACTTAAATAAATCGATAAAATTGTAGAGTTTACATAATTTGGCCTCCTTTGAAAAAAAACCGTAAGCAGCAAAGAGGAGCTTGACCATCATCTGCAAATATTTTTCAAGTGTTTAAAATTAATAAGGGAAACTTACACAAATGTCCCAAATAAATATCAACTTATCAACCTCTAGCCATTAGTCATAGACTTACCAAAACTAGCCAACAAAAATTGAAAAATCAAATAATAGGGTTCTTTCTCTCAAAGAATCACATGCAAAAATCACCTTCCATATTTTTAAGCGTGATTAGCAATATTAGACACAAGACGGAAAGGAAATTTCATGGACGGGGTAGCAAATAAGGTGATGAAATACAAAAATCAATACAATATTCCAAAAATCTAAACAAAAAAGGAACTTTTTCGATGGGTATAGTTGAAATTCATTGAAAATATATAGATAAGTCAATATACAAAATTTGAGGAAGATTGGAGGTGATTTGGACTGGTTTTGTATCAAAATTCGTAATTAAATCGAGTTCAAAAAAGTCTTCTGCGACACATGTATCAAACATGTATCACACACACAGGTATACATGGATATACATGTCATACACAATTGATACAAATATGATACATATATGATACACAAATGATACACGGTGTGATACACATATCATTTTTTTTTTCATGTTCAGCTTTTACTTCGAATTTCAATTCAAACCACCTCAAAACTTCACCAAATCATCCCAAAACTGAGATTCAAGCTCCTTAAGTTGTGCCCAATCTATTATAATAACACCCACTCAAAACAAAGCAAAAATTTGATATTTTTTGCTACAAATAGCTAATTGGCTAATTTGGCTAATATTAGTAATATTTTATCAATTGACCAATTTTTGTAATGAGCTACTTATAAATGGACATAGCTGGTAATTTCCCAATTAATAATTAGTGAGACTTAGACTAGTATTTTTATGTAATTTTTAAATATATATAAATTTTATTGTTAAAAAATCTTAAAATTTTTATAATCTAGTTTACATTGAAAATTAAGCAATTTGACTCTTGTAAGTCGTACCATATAATACAAAATGAATTAATAGTATTATTCTTTATAAATTTTTACTAACGATTCAAATATATTTGTACTCTAGCAGATTATTTGTTATGAGAAAAGTTATGCAAGCATTAATAATGTAGGGCTGCATTGTAAAAAAATTATACAAGTATTAATAATGTAGGGATTGATAATACATGGATAACTTTTCTTGGACAATGTATAATTTGGAACATGTGTTTGTTCATATCTTTTTTTTAAAAGCTGCTTAATACATGAGGGTTATTCTTGATATTTTAGATGTTTGTTTTGATGCATATATTACTAATTCTCCTATTCTTATTCTAATTTTTATTTTGTATAAATAATACTCTTTCCGGTCCACAATAAGTGACTTTTTGCCTTTGGCACACCCCTTAACAAAATACTAATTCCTAGGGAAAAAAAGGTATCTTGACTATATTACCCTTAATTAAAAATTTGTATATTATTAACTTGACACATTGGGATACGTAAATAAGGGCAAATTTGACAAACTAAAGTTAATTCATTCTTGATTATGTATGAAGGACACTTATTTTGAACCAAAATAAAAAAGCGAAAATGTCACTTATTATGGACCGGAGGGAGTATATAGATTTTCGGCATAATTTATACAACTATTATTTAGGGTGAAGTGCAGCAATAACCACTTTTAAGCTTGCTATTTAAAATATATCCACAATTTACAATGTATTTAAACATTAGTCAATTCACCAATTCAGGACTTAGTGTCCTGATTTTTGAGCTGCTAATCTGACAGGACACTAGTGTCCTGAATTTCTGAACTACTAATTTAAAATTCATGATATAAGATTCGAACTCCAGGACACAATTTTCGAACTTTAGGACTCAATGTCCTAAAGTTTGAATTTTGAGGTTTAAACTCTGTGTCCTGAAGTTTGAGCGAAATTGACTAATCTTTAAATACATTATAAACTGTGAATATATTTGAAATAGCGTACTTAAAAATGGCTACCTGGTGTCATTTCCACTACTATTATTTAGAGCAAACTTCATTTATAGCTCATCGGACAAAACAAATAGCATCCCGTAGCCCACAAATTGACCCATACAAGTCACAACCTAAAAATAATGACAATTGCTAGCCGGAAACTTCATTGATCGAATTTCCTCGCCGGAAAGTCCTAGAACAGGCCTGATCTAAGAAGATCTGGACTTTTACTCGTTAAAACAACAGCAAAACGCCGAAAAATCCTAGAACCGGCCAGATCTAAGAAGTTTTCTTTCTTATTTCTAATTATTGTTGTCTGCCCTTATTAGTTTTGCGCGTCTTCTTCCTTTTTTTTTCCCAACTCGTATTTACTTTTGGTGGGAGGTGAAAAGATTGATGTTTTTGGTCAGTCTTTTAATTTGCTGCAGTTGATGTAGCAAGCTACTGATTGAGAATTTATTGCTTCTGTTGCCATTAATTTCAGATTGACAAAGGTTGAGCAGAATTCTATTGTTGGGTCCTCCGTTGGTATTTCAGAAGCTTCGTTGAAGAGGAATATATCTGAAGTAGCCGGGCCATTGAAGGAAATAATGTTTTTCCACTTATGAGCCGCAATCAGAAGTAGGCGGTGATGATTTTGATATGGCCGAATACATGGATGAGACAGAAATCCACACAAGATGTAACGATTGGCAGAAGCCAAACCATTGGAGGAGAGAAAGCCTTGTTATTTTCTCCAATTAAGAAGGTGAATTCTGAACCCTTAGATTTTTCTCGATTTCAGGCATAGAAAATTCTATGAAGAAGGCTCACAAGGTGCTTGAGGAAATGCCAAAGTGGGAGATGAAATTTGGAGTATTCACAAAATGGAGCAGAGGATACTTGTAATGAGAAAATTCTTGCTTCTTATCATCCAGAAACAATAGTAAAACTGAAAGAATCACTTAACATGATTGAAGGAATTAACAAAGAAAACATTGAAGTCTTGAAGGCACAAGTCATCTGTTCTCACTAGGCTTCATATTTTGTTTAATTGCAGATATGAGCTTCAAGAGTTGTAGATAATATTCTGAAAATCGTTGGCTAAAAATTTAAAACTCCGGCAATCTTGTTACCATTTTCGGCAACTGTGAGGTCATGGACGCCGGTGGCTGGTTTCTCAATGAGAGGAAGAACAGAGGAGATGACTATGAAAAAAGTTGAAATATCTACAATATAGACTGGTATTATACAAAAATTATACAAAATAGACTGCCACTATTCAAAAAATATACAAAATAGATGTAACTATATAAAACATATATAAAATAGATGTAACTATACAAACAATATACAAAATAGACTGTCACTATACAAAATATATACAAAATAGATGTAACTATACAAAATATATACAAAATAGATGTTACTATACAAAATATATACAAAAAAGACTGTCACTATACAAAAATACATGATACACTCCAAATACACAGTGTGCACAGATTACACATACAAAATTGTATATAGTTTATATACACTATGTTTACATATTAGAAAATACACATTATATACAATTTTGATACATTGTTTAGACAAATTATACATTCACGATACAAAATATATTTGGGGTACACAAATATATACATCGAACTTAGGATACAATATTTATACATTGCAAAAAAGGGTTGTTCCGTCGCGCCAGGTAGGGGTCAAACCTGCGACCTTCAGCTTAGGAAACAGGAGCCCTATCCACTGAGCTACAGGGACTTATGTTGTCATACTCATTCCTTTCGGCTACTACATGCAATATGTTTGGGCCGAAGGGCTATTTTTTGAAAGTGGTACAAAACATGGGCTATTAAAATTTTGAGGGGCTATAGAGAGTAATTTTCTCTATTATTTACGCAGACAACAAAATGACAGCTAAACACTCTATTGGGGGCTCGATTGGTTTCATGTACTCCTTTATTTCCATTTATGTCGCTATGTTTTATGAGATTTTATAAAAAACAAAAGAACTAAAATAAAATAGACTTATGCCATGGTGTTAAACATGTTAAAAGTTTCTGTAAAGTGCTTTTGGGCTATTTGTAGCCAAAATTTAGTAGAAAAAGCACGGACGAGTCAGATTTAGACTGGTCATTTAAAAATAGTCAGTATTTACAAAGTTATTAAAAAATAACTATTATGTTGCTGCAATACGGAAAGTTTCAGAATAATATACCGGAGATCGGTGCACATGTGTTTGAACTTCCAGCATATTATGCTGGACCTCCAACATACGAAAAGTTCCAGTATATTATACTGGATTTCCAGTAAATTATACTGGAGTATTTTTCCGGATTTTGAACAATATTTTCGTTCGGATTTATCTTTACATAAAAATTGATTAAATTTCGATTACTTTTGATACTGTGGCTATTTTTGAATAACCACTTATAAATCTGGCTATTTTTGAATTTCTCCCTAAATTCAAAAAATTACTTTCCTTATCCAGCTAACATCTGTTCAATATAAATAAACCTACTCCATCTCTTTCTTGCTTTTGTAATCAACAAAGTGAATCACAAATGTTTCATGGTATTAGTATTACAGAGTGCCCTGACATGAAAAATCCCTTTGTTTTTCATTCATTTTGTAACTTTCCATGTTTCCGTACAACTCTTTTGAATTTCCCACCCACTTCTTTCATTTATATCTAATGAAAAACAACCAAAAGAAAATTAGTACATATTTTCTCTACAATAATTACAGCCATGAAAATTGCTCCAAAGAAACCTCATATTTTCAAACCTATTCTGCCCGGGTTCAAAGATGGACTTGTAAGTTTTACTTTTGATCAGTTGTTTCATCTTTTTCCTTTAATTTGTCTGTTGAATATATAATTTTTGTTATATGTATAAGTCAGAATTTTGAATTTTATAGGTTCAACCTTCAAGTTCTTACCATTGAACACATCGCAGTTTTAAATTTATGAATTCAAAATGTAATCTTTGTTGAAATTTTAGTTAGTTTTCACATAGGGAGTATATGTTTACTTGTCAAAAATACTAGTTTCAGTTGAAACCCTAAAAACTAATTAAGCTTCCATTTCAATTTAAATGACATATTTCGTTTATCTAGAGTTATACGGTGTGAAGTTTGACCAATATTTTAAAATGCCTTTTTTTTTTAATCATATTGATATGAGAAAAATTACAACTTATAGTATTTTTCGTGTAGTTTTTGAATATAAAAATATTAATTTTAAAAGATTGAGTTGAACTAATTTAATTTAGCTTCAAAATTTAGTCAAATTGACTCTTGATAAGCTAAATGTGTCTAAATTGAAACAGAAGGAGTACTAAAGATCAAAAGCATAATGTGCTAAATGAATAATCTTTAATTGATTATTGTGTATATCATTTTGTGACAAAGCTTATTCTGATTATCCATATTTGTGGTATATATTTACTGCAGAAAATTCCTCGTGGTTTCTTGAAGTATCTGAAGGGACATGAACATATTGAACATGCAGTATTGAGAAGGGGTAGTAAGCAGTGGCTGGTGAAGGTGAACGGCCGACGACTTGAAGATGGTTGGGAAAAGTTTGTAGAGGAGCATGACTTGCAGTTAGGAGATTTGTTGGTGTTCAGACATGAAGGGAACATGGAGTTTGAAGTTTCCAAATTTGATTCAAGTCACTGCGACAGAGAATATTCGGAGTATTTGCAACAAGAAGAAGAAGAAGAAGCCAATAATGTTGAAGAGACTTCCAAGAATCTTGAATTTGAAGGTGAAGTTCTTTATGTTCTCAACTTTCTTTTTTTCAGATTTTATGTTTCTGTTAGTTATGGAAGTTATTTCCTGATTAGTATTATTTGTTTATCGTGTACTGATGCATAAAAAGAATGATGCTTATTTAATAGAAGTAAAAAAAAGTAGGATATATTGAAGGAGAAACTAAAATGATGAATTCCCTTATAAATCTTGTCCCTTTTTTAAATGGAATTTGTAATATTTAATTTCTTGAAGATACAAATTAAACAACTATGCCTCAATCCCAAGTTGGGATCGACCATATGAATCCTCACCATCCATGTCGTGCCATTTAAGCCATTCAAGAAATTTAATTTTCTAACAATGTAACAGAGATACCGAGCCCCAGCATCGAGTTGTCAGACCATGCAGAAGCTGCTACTCACAAGCCTTTTGGTCATTCTAGTTTTGTTTGCACCATCAGACCATATTGCCTTACGTATGGTTTCTTAGTAAGTCTCAAAACTCATTAATTTCGCGCAAACTCTTCAAAAAACTTCAGGCGAAAGGAAGCATTTTTACCATTTTTCGTGTTTTTATCTTTGTTAAGTGAATATATGAAGAACATGAACTGTTTAGTGATGTGTGTAAATGGTTATACTCCATACAGTACGTTCCTAAACATTTCGCATTGGCAAATGGTCTCGCGACAAACAAGAAGTGCAGTCTGATCATAAAAGATGAAAGGCAAAGCTCGTGGACTTTAAGGCTAAGTTGTTGTAAAACTCAAGTCTACATTGGAGATGGCTATTGTAAATTCGTTGCTGATAATTGCTTAAAGGAGGGAGATTGTATTTTGTTTGAGGTTGTTATTGTTGGGTTTTGGATGTATTTAATTAATATATATTAAATACTTAAAAGAGGGTGAATGGGAAATGGAGGGAAATAAAATTTTTGAGTGAATTTTTAAGTTCCCCCTTGGCAAATGGGCATTGTCCCATATTGGAAGAGGAAGAGGTTTTTTATGGGTATATAAGCAATTGCTCTTCTTCTAGCTCTTAAAGAGTTGAGAAGAAGGCAAGCCTCGCGCCGTCGTCGTCGCTCGGCTCGGCTTCGGCTACGGCTACGGCTACGGCTACGTCTTCGGATTCGAACTTTGGACCAAATTTATTTGTTAATAGTAAAATATTAACAGAAATGTTATTAAATATTTGTTTTAATAACAGAATATTAATATTAAATATTAATATTAAATCCAATCCGTTTTTCTGTTTTGGTAACAGAAAAGTAACTACCCTCTTCAATTTTCCCTCTTTATTTTCCCTCTTTATTATTGAGTAAATGGCCATTTATGTAATGACATTTATGCTGTGGGCGTTTTGCATAAATAGTCATTCTGAAGAGTTGCACCTCTTCAGATTTCAGCCCAACTTTGGCTATAAATACAACACTATTCTGCTCAGAATTTCACTACGATTTTCTGAGTTTTCTCTCCTTTTTCTGCATACTTTTAGCATCAAACAAAGTAAAAAGTAAGTGTGATTTGCTACCGAACTTTGTGTTCGCTGAAACACTGGGGTTTGAAGTACCACTACACCAGTGTGTAATTCGTTCTATCCTGGGAGGAAATAATCCATAACCTTGGGTACTAGGAGGGGATTAAATTCCTTAAGGAAACACTGTGAATTCAGTGAGCTCGAATTGGTTTTATGTCATTTCTGTTTATGTTCATTTCTGTTTATATTCATTTATATTTCCAGAATTATTTTACAAATACAGTCTACTAACAAGCTCAAGGAATTTAATATATTTTCTGTATTTGTACTTACTGTTTCTGGAAGAGTAAAACCTTTGTGGTTTTGTACTCTATTAAAATCTACGTGATTTTAACGTTTGTGTCATTCTTTTACAGAAATGACTAATGAGAATGAGAACCAAGCTGTTCCAATGGTGACTGCTAATGCCTCAACTAGCCGAACGACACCGGCAGCATTGGCACCGGCGGAGAAACCCGAAAAATTTTCCGGGATTGATTTTTGGCAACAAAAGATGTTCTTCTATTTGACTACTCTAAGTCTCCAGAAGTTCATCAAGGAAGATGTTCCTGTGCTGTCCGATGAAACTCTAGAAACTGAACGCTTTCTCGTGATTGAGGCGTGGAAGCATTCAGATTTTTTGTGCAAGAATTATATTCTAAGCGGGCTGGAGGATGCTTTGTATAACGTCTACAGTGGCGTGGAAACGTCAAAGGAACTGTGAACTGCGCTTGAAAAGAAATACAAAACCGAAGATGCCGGGTTGAAAAAGTTTGTTGCTGCAAAGTTTTTGGACTACAAAATGGTAGATAGCAAGTCTGTTATTACCCAAGTCCAGGAATTGCAAGTGATTATTCACGATCTCCTTGCTGAAGGTATAACTCAAATTAATATTGATGTTGAAAGTAGTAACCTTAGTATTTTTACTAACAGAAATTTCATTGAAGGTCTTGTCATCAATGAAGCATTTCAAGTAGCAGCGATGATTGAGAAGTTGCCTCATTTGTGGAAGGACTTCAAAAACTACTTGAAACACAAACGCAAGGAGATGTCCCTTGAAGATCTCATTGTTCGGTTGAGAATCGAAGAGGACAACAAAGCTGCTGAAAAGAGAGGCCGTGGAAACTCAACAATAATGGGAGCAAATATTGTTGAAGAGAACAAAAAGAGGAAGAAGGCTTCTGGACCAAAATACAACCCAAGCAAGAAGCGGTTCAGTGGAAACTGCTACAACTGTGGAAAAACCGGACACAAATCTACGGAGTGTCGTGCTCCGAAGAAAGACAAGAAGAAGGGCCAAGCAAACATGGTTGAAAAGCATGATGATGTTGATGATTTATGTGCCATGCTTTCCGAATGCAACTTGG